TAGTATTTTCTTCGAGAATTAGCCTAGCTTGTTCATATATTTCCTTTTTGTTCTCTAGCTTTTCTTTGGCCTCTTCACACCCTTTTTAATTTGTTCCATCTCCCATTGCATTATCTCGTCATCATCATCTTCTAAATCACTATGAAATATTGAAAGGTCAAAGTTTAGTTAATTCAAATGTATAATATATAAAAACTAGTGTAATAAAATATGTTGAAACAGATTAAAAGACTAAAATACTTACACTTCCATCAACATCTCCTTTATACCAGCTTTTTTGAGTCGCTGATGCTCTCTTTCGGCCTTTTTACCAAGCGGTAATTTTTCTTCACCATATTGTCCGAGTTCTAAAACCAAAATTGTAAATGAAAATAACTTCCAAATATTATTAAATAAAAAAAAAAAAAAAAAAAATTTAAACAAACCCTCATCTGCATCTCCAATCTCATCATCCTCACGCACAAGCCTCGATTCTATTTTCTTTTCTGACACTGGATCAACCTTCCAAAGAAATCAGGGGTAAGAAATTAATAGCTGACAAATTCAGCTGAATGGATATATGAAAGACTCACATCTGGGTTATCGTCTAATGGAATATAATCTAGGAAAGCACTTTTTTGTCGCAACATTTCTCTTCTTTTTTTAGCGGCATGAATGGCATTTGCATCAGGTATTCCCGAAATTTGACCTTTAATAATTACAAAATTAAGACATAAAATTATATAGAATCAAAAATTATATTAAAAAAATATGTATACCTGATCCTAGAGTAGAAGGGAATTTTTCTGCAATAACGTTATCTTGCACTTGAAATGATAATGGCATGATAGGCGTATTAGCACGCAATTCTAATAAATGCTCTTTAGTATATGAAGGAGATGACGATATCGTTGCTTGATCGAGATTAATAGGGACCGATTCTCTAAATAAAAGAATCTTTGTTAATATGAACGTAGCTTTATACTATTACAAGTAATTTTACTCAACTGATTTAAAAGCAATTGCTTTGCTTTGGATCTTGCCAGTCGACGACTTGCTGAGCTTTTGGTCACCTGAAAGGTTTCATCCTCTTCCTAATATTTATTGCACGAAATATATGAAAGGTTAATAGACGCATAGATTAAACAATTTGGACTATTGAAATATTACACACCTCTTCGTTCCCAAAACTCAGAACAGATTTGTTATTACTCTTGGCTTTTTTTTTTGCAATTTTCTCGGCGGGTACCTGCAAACCTATTTAAATAAAGTTGTAAGATATTACACGTTAACTTTTTAAGATTATGTGAAATTTTACTCACTGACTTCTTCTTCTTCATTGTCTGGTTTAGTACGAATATTCCGTGTCTTTTTTCTAATCATCTTTTTCTTGATACTAATATTAATCAGCGAATCGTCTCGTTGGTTTAAATAATCAATTGGCTGATAGGCCTATTTACATCATTTTTTTAAAATTTTCATGCATGTGATTATGACAAGGGTAGAATCGCCACCTTCTCGCGTTGTTAGGTTATGTTTAGTATCTTGTAATTAGTTAGGACTCGAATATATCAAAATTTTGCAAGAAAAATTTTTTTATTAGTGCGCAGAAGGCAATTTCATAGACTAAATTTTGATTTTATGAGAGATTTTTTATTTAATAGTATTTAAAAGTGTAAAATCGCTACCGCTACGCCCCAAACCTACTGGTTTGGGATTAGGTAGATAGTATTTATTTATATTACTACTACCGGTATTCCATACTTTTTTTTTTTTTTTTTTTTACTAATCTATTTTGATGTTCTAAATAAACTTGTTTAGACATATCTGATATATAATTATATTAGTTAATTATAACTAAAGCGGTGAGTTTTAGCAATACTCGTATTGATTTTGTATATTATTTATTTTTTCATAGCAAATTAAAAAAAGCCTCAATAATAACAATAGTACAGTATATAATAATTTGTCAAACAGATTTTTGCGACATATTATCTTTAATAATCAATTATTAAAAAAAAATTTTTTTTATATTTTTGTTGGATTGAAATCATAGTTTATTTTAAAAATCCAATACAAAAATTCACAACTAAAATAGAAATACAATAAAATTCTATACAATTGATGCAAGCAGAATAAATAAGCCCACAACCAAAAATCTTATGAAACTAAATATAAATATAAATTTCAGAATTAACTGATTCATGAATCAATAAAAGAATCTTATTAAAAATACGCGGCAGAATCGATACAGATAGTAATCACACCAATTATAATTTCGAAAGCTAGAAAAATTAATCAATTTAGAGAAATAATAGTAGCATAAAAGTGATAAGATATAACTTACCAATAAGAACAATTACTATCCATTCCAGCTGTTCGCCTAAATTGCAAAAACATTGATGTGAATGATAATAATAATAATAATAATAATAATAATAATAATAATAATAAAATTTAAAGACACAAACCATGAGAAGTTGTTAAATGTTCTTTAAGCATATCTAAAAGATCACCTGTAATGAAGTAACAATTTAATTCATCTAACTTTGAATTAAGAATATTAAAAAAAAAATCTTTAAAAAGAGATAATACTTATAACAGCAACTCTTTGATTTAGTAGTTCGACTCGTTGTGAAATTTCAAGGTAACCTAATAAGGATGGAGTAGGCAAGAATCATAAGCATAAATATATCAAAAGTAGGCTAAAATATTTTCTTACCCCTAATAGCTCCATATAACGGCTCATACGCAGGTTCAGACCAAAAAATTTCAGGCGTATCTAAAATATTACTAACTAAATTGATATTTATTCGCATTATGAACAACTATATGTTACATAATTATGCAAATAATACTGTTGAATTAGTTTGAAAAAAAAAAAAACAATTACAATCATATAACATCAAGTGAATCATTTACCTGTCCTATTTTCTTGGTAATGGCCGTTCTAATAAATTCCAAGGAATAAGGACGAATTACGAAAGTAAATGAACGATGAAAATACAAGATCGATCGATGCAAACCTTGACATAGAGACTTTACCCGTTTCCGCCATTGTTATTGGAATATGTTTTGTAGCCTCGATCGTATCTTCTATTAATCCTTCAAATAAGGTCATTTTGACAGATTGTGCAATCGCGTGAGATATTGTAACTTTCACCATATAATTTCCAGGATGTTTAAGAGTAATCACATCATTATAGATTCTGGGAACCAAATCATTCCCAAGATTTAATTTAAAGAACAAATACAAGAGATAATTAAATTTTAACGTCGAAACACACCTTTGCTGATAAGAAGCGGCATAATGAAAATGAAATTCTTCAGTTTCAACATCCTCTTCAGCTGTGAACGAAGGTATGAAAAGTTGTAGGGTAAGAATGATAATAAAATACATAATAAATATGTAACTTACATAACTTTTCGTCCTCGAAGGCAACTAATTCCCGTAATAGACTTTTTTCTTCAACTTCTTTCATACCCCAGATAACAACAACGCCATAATCAAAAAAGATAACTTCGGAAATTGATTGTTCTTGAGATGGGATAACTACATCATCAAGACCTAAGAGATCTGCAGTAGTTGGTGGTTTAGGTGGACGAAAGGTAAATGGAGTATATATGCTATATAATGAGTAAGTAAACGTATTTAAATTAATTAATCATAAATACTTTTTTAGGCAGACATTAAAAATACTGAGCACTACAGTACCGCACTGATTAAAAGACCGAGTCCAATACAAAATATTCAATAAAAAAACTTTCAAAATACCCGGGGATATTTTGATCGATAACGGTATATTATATAGGAATATTGGGAATATGTTACAAGGGCACATATATGTAATAATAAGTTGTAATTAAATACCATACAAAATATCCGGTTATTTTACTCAGTGAGAAAAAAAAAAGTTATAAAATACAGGTATTTTGCATGAGGTATTATAAAAAGCGGATCTTTTAATCAGTGTAATAGGGTAATTAGCATTTATATCATTTATATCATTTATATGCTTACCATTCATCCAAACGCTTCGGTGCGGTACTATTTCGTACTTTTCGATTTTGGAGATATTTCATTAAATCGTCCAACCGATAAGTTCTAAAAATAAGTATAAAATAAATTATCAGTCAAAGGAATATGATTTGAAACGCAATAAAAGGATGTCTTTTCAACATACGCTGCCGTGCAATAAGCAGTAACCCGGGGAAGTTTAAGTCGCTCTTGTTTGCTAAGTCTCTCGGCTTCCTTCCTAGCAGTTCCCTGCGCAAGTTGACCAACTTGATCGTATTTTCCGTCACTCGCTTCATCAACAGTAATAGGAACTGCTTGTTCTTCTGGAAAAAGTTTTAATTTTTGGGAAGTCTTTGTTGTTCTATTAGGTTGTTTCGATTTTACTCTGTTTCTTCCGCCGACTTGAGGTTCAGTTTGAGGATCTATAACTAAAGGTTTTTGAGTGGGCGTTTCCGCCGATGTTGAAAGTTGTATATAGCCTTGTTGACGTTTCTGCATTGTGAAAATCGACTAAAGTGCTAAAAATTTAATTGACCGTTTTTATATTTTTGAACTGTGTAATACAGAAATTGAACCGCCAAATTCCACGATCATGTGACAAGGTTAATCTACACTTCAAAAAAACAGTGATCTACATAACGTCATTTGTTTACTGGCACTAACAATGTGAGTTCGATGATGATCCAATGTTCGATGATGATCCATGCCAGCTCAGCCAATTAGAAATTCCAATTTTACTATCAATGTTAATACAGCGAAGATATTGGTCACTAGGGTTGTGTTATGAAAATTACAACATGTAAATCGAATTTTACGTAAGTTTGGTCACATGATATAAAGTACCGGGATTACATAAACTTGGCCTAGTTTTATTCATGAGATTTATTTGACATCCGTTAGTTACATGATATTAAGATTTTGCAAACATACTAATTTTGTTTTGTGATTATTTTTACTTCGTGAAAAATTAGACAGTTAGCAAAGTAAGTATAGAGAATAATAGAATCTTTTTAAATTCCGAATAATAAACAAAATAAAAAACAAATAAGATTAGATAATATAGTAGCAATAAAAGAGCAAGAAAAACAATAATTTCAGAAAATATAGTAAATATAAAAGAAAAAAAATTTTTTTTAAGTAATAATTGAGTAATCAAATTTATCATACTTACTATTATCTAATATATTAAAAAAAATTGTTAAAAAAATTTGCAAGATTATCTTTTTTTAAGTATATCATTATCTAAATTATTTAGTTTTTAGTTATCCAAATTATTATAGCAGATCAATAAGATATTTGACCAATTTCACAAACTTGTATAGCTATTAAAACAGTTTTTAAATTATACTATTTTTTATTTATCATAAGTTGATCTTGAATAGCTAACTTTAACTGTTTATTAGTGATCATAAGTGTTTTATATACTACAAAATGAACTAATGAAATTTTTTTTTTGTAAACTTTTTAATTTTATTATTTAAAAATTTAATAATTTTTTATAAATTATTGATTTTTTGACTGATAGCTTCTTAGATTTAATACAATAATTATTTGAATAGTATAAAGATTTTTTAATAAAATTATAAGTTTTTCGCTATATATATTTCGAAAAAATCTAGCTAGTTTTAAGTCTTTTACTATATCTTATATTATTTAGTAATAATACCTTAAAACTTAACTTATTATTATCTATAAACATTGTTATATCTAATAATATATTCTATACTTTTAAATATTCTAGTTGATAAAATTGCTCTTATACAAGTTTTTTAATAATATTTATAAATATAGTAAGGATTGAGTTTAGTAAATTAACTACATATTCTATAAGTTTATCGATTTTTTGTTGTTTAATATAAAATTTAATATTTGAGCTATTATTATAGCTATCATTATTGTTATTATAATAATAACTATCTTAATAGCTATTATCATAATTATTATTATATCTATTGTTATAGCTATTGATATATCTATAATTTTCTATTATTTTATTTTTTTTTTATTTTATTTTAGTTTTTATTATTTATTTATTTTTTTTTTTATTTTTTTTTTTTTTTATAATTTAGATGATCTTGCTCATCATTTTATTAAGGAAAAACTTATATAAGCTATAAAATAAATTACTATATAAACTATATTAAAATACCTTTCTTTAATTATTCTGAACTCACTTAGCTACCTTTTAGTACTCAGATACGATCTGCTATAGCAACATTTTCTCTTATAGAAATATTAAGCTATATTTAGCTTACTAGTTACTAATTGGTAAAGGACTGCTACTAGCCTATATCAAGATCTCCTATTTTGTTTTAAATTTTGACCACTCTTCTCGCATATCAAAAAAAAACCTATTAATCAATTTTTTTACTCATTTCCTTCTAAATACTTGTTTCTTTTTTTTCTAAGTTTCTTTAAGTATATCTGTAAATATAATATTTTTTTTTTTTTTGTTATTAAGGCTACTTTCTTGGTCAATTAGATTTTATTAGTTTGTTATTATGGAACTATTACATAAACAGTTTTCTAAGGTTTTATAGTTACATGATGAGTGTACAACAAGCTACATGTACAACTTTAGTCATTGTCTAATTTAAGTAGTC